AGTTGTTGTTTTCATCACTGTTATTTGTGCTTGAATATCCTTAGGCATTCACATAGCTATCAGTTCATATATCCCTAGTTTTGTGAAGAGACCTACACAGCTGAAGACCAACTAAGTAGGGTGTTCCATTTGTCTAGTTACCTTATGTATATAAATATTTATAGCACTCTACAATTACAGAGAAGCTGAAATTAAATGGGAGGTTTTTTCTATTCAATTAAATCACGATGCAGACAATATGGATTATTTCAATAGCAGGTAAATGAATTCTATCCATAGAAAATTGACTATAATATTGATTAAAAATGATGCCAGATAAAATAGTTCTTATTGTTTATTTGAAAATCTTGACCATAATTAGCTTGCATGTAGGAGTGATTATAAGTCGGCGGGTATGCTATACTTGAATTTCAAGAGTCAATTTGTTAAAAAGCACAGCAAACATGAAGTATAGTTATTACTTGTACAGTATTATGCAGACACCAACTAATTAATTCTTACAGTACCCATGTAAAAAAATAAGGTACATTGTTCCTGGGAAAACTGTGAAACATGGAATCTGGGTAAGTGACTTTCCAAAGGCAACACATTGAGTCAATGGCACAATTTAGGAGCTCCTTACTCTTCATTGTGTGGTCTCTCCTCTTCTAGGCCATTCTTCCTCTACAAAAGCACATAACCAAACAAACCCGGAAATCAGCTATTACTCATTATTTCCCCCCCTGTTCTGGGGTGGAGTGAATGTCAAATAATTGAAATCCAAAGTAACAGCTGTGATCTTGTGAAAGGAGTTTGAAGCTGGGATGTCAGGAACAGCTGAGTTTTATGGCATGTCCATGCTTACTACTACTCTTAGTGAAGATTCTACCCATGCTCCATCTCCCCAAGCGGTGGTAGCTCTGTTGATCGGAGAAACCTTCCTATTGACACAGCACTGTCTACACTGAGGGTTAGGTCAATATCACTGTTTCTCTGGGGTGTGGCTTTTCCATGCTCTGAGCTATGTGATTATATTAATGCAAGTTTGTTACTCTGCTGCAACTTGCAGGGTGACTCTGGGCAGTCTTTTTTGCCTTGGTTTCAGACATTGATAAAATAAGGATACTGCTACACACCTGCTTCACTTACAAAGGTATGGTGAAGATTAGTTAGACAGTACTTGTATGTTGTTTTGTAAAGAGCACTACGTGTTTCTCTCTTGTTAAATATTTTGAATATGAAAACTTAAAATGACTATTAACAGAAATGCATCTTGACTCTCACTGTTGTAATCTACAGAGCGCATAGTCTTGCTAATGGCTCTGCCCTCACTTTGGAATACTTAAGCTGTCTATCCTCCTCATTCTCTCCTCCATATGGACATAGGAAGGGCAGCTTGATGGTGGAATTGGTTCACTATTTTCCTCCAACATGCACTAATTATTTCCTGAACTATACGAGATTCTAATAGGAGAAACATTCTTTCATCTTTACATATTTTCAAACGAATAGCATTTAACCTTGAAAACACAAGTGTTTTAAAACCTAATACTGTATATGTCTCTCCTGTCTTCATGTGATTTTGTTTATTCTATTTATAAGCTGAGTCATGAATTAATACATTTTACAAATCCAAAAACTGGCCCCCTGGTCATTCTGTGTACTTTGAAATAAATATGCAAAGAAGACAGAAAGGAAGAACCTTGTTAAAACTTTATTATCTGAGCACTATGCAGTTCATTTTCATACTCTTATCCAAGTGGTTAATGGAGATTTTAAACATTAGTTTATTTTGATATTGGAAATGCTTTTTGTTTAGTAGGATTTTAAAGTGAAAACTATATCCTCCTAGGATAAGATATTGTTAGTGTTCTACGGCTATTATATGACTTCTGCCTCCACCACTGCCCACCAATGGTCCCTCTAATTTTTACCATCCAAGTGTGGAATAAATGTTGTGACATGCAGCAAGACATGCATAGATGTGCACCACCATTAGAACCACAGCTGCCAGCTGTGGGCACTCTGCTAATAAGCTAAGCGGCATTTGAATTTCTTCTGGATGGCTGCCCTAGCACTCAGCTTACAGGGAACATTGCTGGCCACTAGTGTTCTACACAATGTGTGCATGAATTTAATATACACCCCCACACACTACACACCCATTCCATAAATATGTGTGCATCAATGGTCCACTGATGTTAATGCCACTATGCATCATGCATATGCCCAATATGTACTGCACTTCAGTATATCAATGGATTCAGGGGAAAGGAGTATCAGGATTAGAAGGTGTCTGAGGGTACGTCTACACTAACTCGTTTGTTCGAGCTAGGTAGGATAATGAGGGCAAGTGGATCTTTAATTCAAACTACCTAGTCCGTGCTGCGTGTAGCCGCGGACACAGAGTTCGGACTAAGGAGGATTTAAAAATGGCAGCACCCAGGAACATGCAAATGAAGCCCAGGATATTTAAATCCCGGGCTTCATTTGCAACTCCGTTTGTCCTCATTACCCTACCTAGCTTGAACTAACGAACTAGTGTAGACGTACCCTGAGTGTTTTGTGTGTATAGACCCGTCTTTTCATTAATTGTTTTTGTGCTCTTTTCTCTCTTTATTGTCCTTCATTGCTGCTTTGTAAATGTGCAGGCAACAAAAATTACATCTTGTAAAATAGGGCATTACAGTTATGCCTCAGTATTCCTATAGTGTGGCTCATCTCTAATGCTCCTTTGGAGAGTTGCAATGAATACCTGACGTTAACTGATTCAGTACAACAGCAGTTCTCAAACTTTTTGGGTTCCGGAGCCCTTAACATGCGTAAAAATTTATGTGGAGCCCCAGCGGTCCACTGATTGTATGTGTTGTACCTATTGATGTTTCCAGTTTGTCAGCCTCGCGGAGCCCCTGGAGATGTCTTCGCGAAGCACAATTTGAGAAACACTGCAATACAAGAAATTTAATAGTCAATTCTCCATGGTGTCACCAATAAAAAAAATTTCTTAGATAGGAAGCTGTTCGGGGCAGGGATTATGTCTTCCTGTGTGCTTATGCAGGATCACAGCCTATGTGTGCTGCCACAAAATAAATATTAAAATGCTAAATAAAAAGCTAACTATAAAGATAAAGCTGCATAGCTGTATGCTGTCACAAACATTATTTTCAATAAATCTCCTTATATATTAGGATTGTCCATCAGCTGATAGATGAGGTTTGGAAGGATAGGAAGAGTGAGGAGAGGTTCTGAGACAGGGAAGGAGGCAGATCTATCTGTTTCTAGGCCTATTTCAGCCCTTCCAGGTCCTGCTCCTGAGCTCTGCTGTGGCCATTCCAGCTCCCCTAGAGCCCCCAAAATAGTTCCATTGCAGGGACACTAGCACCCCCGCTCAATGTTCCTTCTAATTTTTTCCATCCATGTGTGAAATAAATTTTGTTATATGCTCCAAGGCATGTGCAGATGGGCATCGCCAGTAGAAAGACATGCTGCTGGCTCAGAGTCCTTTGGGTACTCTGTTAATCAGCTGGGTAGCCTATGAATCTCTCCTGGATGTCCACCCAAGTGCTCAGCTTACAGGGAACACTGCTCCTGCTCCCTCAGCCTCCCAGTTCCACACTCTTCTCATGGATTGTGGATGCTGTACAGTTGATACATAAGTGCTAGTTTTATTGATTAAAAAACAGGCTAAAATTAGTGTCTGGTTTACTGAATGGTGAGACAAGATGGATGAGGTATTATCTTTTATTGGTTTAACTTCTGGTTAGAAGAACAAGCTTTTGAGCTGCACAGAGATCTCCTTCATGTCTGGAAAGGTACTCCCATCATCACAGCAAACTGCAAGAAAAGACATTACCTCACCCACCTTGTCTCTCCAATGTCCTGGCACAGACACAGCTACATCTATGCTCCAGACAATAATTACTGAACAGTGTAATGCCAAAGCAAAATACCATTACCATGTTGGATATTTTTTTATAAATTGTCAGAACTGCAGCAGCAGTAGCTGAAATATCTCTGCATAGGTTTCCTGCCTCTTTGTGTGGCTTCATGCACTTATGGCAGGGTCTGCCAGCAGAATCTCTCAGTGGTCAAAAGCTCTTCGTCAGTCACTATGTTTCAGTGCACGCTGCTCAGTCAGCAGCAAACCCTCATCTCATACGCTGCACAGTCAGCTTGCTTAACTTGCTCTGTGCTTGTGGATATAGGCTATATGAGCAGAAATAGATGATTGTTTAGCCCTTCCTTGTCTAAGGGAGGGAGCTGAGATGAAGAAAGTCAGTTCACTGACCCATAATGTCCAAATCTCAATTTAGCTGAGATTCAAACTATGGACATTCACTGGGTTTAACTTCCTGTGCTGGTCTCTTGTTTTTTAGAATTAAAAGGTTGTTGAGAAGGAGGGAGATTTGAATGCAAAATACAAATAGAGGCTTAGAAATATATAATGCCTTTCATCTCACTAGTTTTATTGCCTCTATTTAAACATAAGTACAGCAAGTACATTTTGTTTGAGTAGTAAGTTACCTATTGTTAGAGTGCTGTGAAGTGTTTGCAATTCTGTGACTATCGTAAGCAGTTTTGCAGTTTAATTAAATAGTGAAACATGCATTCTTCAAATGGAAAATGAATACATTTCTGGTACTGTGAATGACCCTCAGATATACTGTGCTTAAAAACTAGTAACAGACATCACAAAGGGGAACTTTTTCTTCATTTCAGCTGTACAATGGAATGTGTTAAACTTGTTTTTTGTTTAATTTATATACTTCTACAAAGAACACTGCTTTCTCTCTCATTTCAGTTCTGCTAATATACATAAAAGGCATGTGAGAGATCTGCCCAGATGCCTGATGCATTGTGAAGCTTCTGAGTGTAAATCATGGGCAGAGACTGAAGTGTGTAGCAGCTTCCATAGGGAGAAAATACAGCTGTAATCAGCTCCTTCAATTTTTAACCAAGTCCCATGAGAATTTACCAGTTTCTCTTTCTGTTATCTCTCCTCCCTCTCCCCCAAATTAAAGCAGAATGATGAAGTGTCTACTATTCAAGTGAAGGAACAAGACCAAGATGTTCTGGTGCTTAGGAAAGTGTCGTCACATAGCCCAACCCCCACATCAGGGAGTGCCGAGAATGATTGGAGGTAAGAGTTTTTTCCTTGGGCGCTCAGAGAGAGAGAGAGAGAGAGACACACACACACACAAGCTGACTGCAGAGCTTTCAGCAGCCAGATGGACTCGGTTACTAGCAAATAAGATACTAAGAAATAAGATGGCAAGATACTGTAGCATTTAGGGAATGCCTTTGTTAACAACTCCTACACTATGGGAAGTTCCAGGCTGAGAGTCTTTGATCCTCATTTAGATAGAAAGGATTCTGCTGCCTTTCTAGGCAGGGAACTTGCCTTGCCTACGTTTGATGTGCCTTATTTTAAATACATTGATGAAGAGGATGAGGAGGATGAATGGAGCAGCCGCTCACAGTCTTCAACTGAGGATGACTCTGTGGATTCTTTGCTTTCTGACAGATATATGGTGGTATCAGGGACTCCAGAGAAGATTTTGGAGCACCTTCTGAATGACTTGCACCTAGAAACAGTCCAAGACAAAGAGACAGGTAAGGTACAAATTGGATTCTGTTCTTTAAACACAGCTTTCTGTGTCGTCTGCTACTGTTTGTGATACTGCCTGTACATTTGGCTGACAAGCTGGCATGTAATATTGCATATAATGACCTCTGCTATTAAGTATTCTAAGTGCTGCATTTAAACTCACATGCTCTATTTGCCAGGTGATATTTTAGTTGTGTTCATCAGAAGGAAATCAAATCCAGGCCATTGGGGTTTTGTTTTGTTTTTTGTTGCCTCTGAAATTCTCACTAGTCCTTGTTGCAAGCCAACTGACTTAATGCCTTCTTACCAGATGTCAAATATAAGGACGAAATGCGAGAACTCGGCAATCAGAATGTGGTGAACTAGGGCACATAGCCGCTGGGCAGAAGTGTCAACAATTAATGAAACTGTTCAGTGGCTACATGCTTCACAGCAACTTCTTTTTTTAATAAATGACTTTACACTGTTGCCTACATTGCACAAGCTGCAGTGTATATTATATGGTACTTGTGTCTCTTCAACCAGACACTATGATTCTGTGTAGCCTGCAGCTATTATTATATTGCTCAAACAACTTGAGACACTATGTAGCAGTACAGTCTTCTAACTAAATACAGATTTTGCCATCAGCAAAGCATGTTTGGAATATCTGCTGCTTCATGAAAACGCCTTACAAATTTCCTTCAAACACAAGACATATAACAGAATGTAATGCTTGTCTTCAACTAGAGATTGTAATTTGTTCCAGCCTGGAGCAAATTATTATATTGATCAGGCTACTTGACATGTAGTGTATTTTGCAGCTTGATCTCCTGGCTAAATGCACAGTTTGCTGTCACCAGAGCTCCTTTGGTAGTTTATCAAGAGTGCCTACAACCTGAAATCTATGTACAGTTTTAGTGAATGTAGTTATGCTGGTGAAGTGTCAGCTCAAGATCAAGCCTTCATAGTTTCAAAATGCTGCTAAAGGGCTATGAAATGTAGGTAGCTGAAAATGGAGTTGGTATTTTTTTATTGTTCCCAGTGGGGTTAAACTGCATATGCTTGATGCTAGGGTATATGCCCCACACCAAATGAGATTACTAAGAATAAACATGTTTAAAGGGATTACAGTGACTAAATGTATAAATAACATCTGTTACTCCCATAGGAATCTTAGTGTTGGGTTCTCAGGACAAGTTAGTAGTTTACTGTTGTATAGAATGTGTTTTCTTACCAGGGATGCATACTTTATCTAGAAAATAAGCCAAAAGAAATGCAAGCTGGCTCATTATTATAATGTGTCTAGCGCTGCTTCTGTCTGCCTAGATATTAATATTTTGTGCAGAGCAAGCATTGCTTTCTGATTGTTCTGCTTCCTCAGGTGTAATCATAATAGTGTTGTGTATAAAGGTACTTGCATGAGACTGAATTACAGGAGTGGTGCATGAAAGAATAGAGTAATTCAGATCAGGGAAAAGTTCATTTAAGCACAGTAGCTTATGCAGATTTGGGGAGATTAGCTACCCATTCCTGTAGGCTGCTGTTAGTTTTGTTCATAACCTCTTAATTCTTCCTACTGGAGACTGTTGAGGTCTCCAGCAATATTCTGTTTATTTTTTATGTACAAAGAATTGCTGGCTTGACTAAATTAGATATCTAATACATCTTGACTTTTTATTATCTCAGTTTTACCACCCTGCTTATTTTCTCCCATGGGGGTACCAGCTCAGCTGCTCATTAGCATATTTTTATTGTGCTAGAGTATGGATGAAAAATTGCTTTTAAAACTAGCTGTAAGGAGATGATAATATAGCTTTCTAAGCTGAATGTATAAGCTCTGCAGTGTGGTCAATATAAGCTGAGTACTGTATAGAAACTGAGAATTTAGAGTCTGACAATAGATGCAGATTTCCATGATCACAATGAAACGTCCTGTCCTAAACCTGTGGACCTGCATTTACATGACAACATGGTTGTCTATGTGCGGTTATTGTTTACCTTCTAATTATACACTAATATAGGGTTTATCTTTAAAAATTGAGTTAGGTTGATACATTTTCAAATGAAGGTACAGTGAGGACACCTCTCAAAATTTGTGCAAGTCCACCTTAGAACCACTTCCTGATCACAAACATTTGTGTGAAAATATGGGATGTTGGCTGAACAGCAAGTACATGCATTTCCTTGTAGGAGCACCTATGGCAATGTCTATACCAGCGGTTCTCAACCTTTTCCAGGTGGGGACCCATTTTGACAGTTCAGGAAGATTTGGTGACCCAGGGCAATTCAAAAACATGTGTGAATGGCTCCTTAAGAGCCACCTGAGGAGACACCTGGTGACCCTTTTGAAATGTAATGGTGACCCATATTTGGGTCCCACCCCATAGGCTAGGAAACCCTGGTCTACATAGGAAAACCTTGGGCTGGGGTGGGGTGGGGAACCAGGGGGTTACTTCAGTGCAGTGTAGATGTCTGGATTCAGGCTGGAGCCTGAGCTCTGGGACCATCCCACCTCATATTGTCCTAGAGTCCATTTCTTGGCAATCCTAAGTCAACTGGCATGGGCCAGCTGCAGGTTTCTCGTAGCAGTCTATACATATCCTTCTTAGAGGACAACAGAGCCAGTGGCTCTGCAATCAGAGGGAAAATATTCTTCTCATTTTGTTATTTTAATAGCCTACAGTCTACCACTTTCCAGGGGCTTCATTTTTGTTGCTGACCTCTACAATGGGGAACCATATGGACTACTGAACTTCCTGAAACTTCTGGCACCAAGACCTCTTTCAAATGATCTCTGAGATCACTAAAATCATCTAGGGATATCCTTCTAGTGTGTTCTTTAAGAGAGGATATATCCAGCAACTCAGTAAGGTGAATAATTCTAGTGTGTGCTAATTCTTGGGATGCTTCCTGATTAATCTGCACCAGGGTCTCAAATGATCTCAGGCTGGCCAAATGTCAGGTTCTCTGTGGGTCATCCTACTGAGTACTTTGCTGCTTTCAACACTGTCATACCTTTCTTCAGAGCTCTTTTCCTTCTCTGGGTGTCCTCCTAACCTCCTGGTGATTCCATCAGCATCCTTTTTGGTGTGTGTGTGTGAGGGAGTGGGGCTTCTCCTTCTCTACCACTGTCTGTGACGATCTCTCAGTGTTCAGATCCAGTCCCTCATCTCTTCCAGCCTCATCTCTTCCAGCCTCATCTCTTCCAGCCCCTTATCTCTTTGCTTAGGACTCATCATACCTGGCATCAACCTTCTTCATTATACCAATAACTCTCAAACCTGTTTCTCTACACCTGACCTATCTGCTTCCATGCAAATCCACATTGCAAATTATCTACTTGTCAGCTAAAATGTCACATGATCATCACTGAGTTCCTTACTTTCCCATCCCTGAGACAGTGCCACCCTCCCTATCATTCTGGCCTCTGCCCTGGGGGATATCTTAAAGAATTCCATCTCCTTTGGCCCACTTGTCCACCCTAAATCTTACTCTTTTTTTCCTCCACAGGGTCTTTAATCTTTGCCCTTTTCTCTCTGTTCAGACAGCTAATTCTTGTTCAGATGATTATTGTCTGACGTTTTGATGAATATAATCACCTTCACTGGCCTCCTCAACGCACACGTATCAGCTCCTCCGTTATATAGAAACAGAACTGTGAAAATCATTTTTCTTGCCCATTTCTCTGATCATGGCCATCCCCCTCTTTTCACTGCATCGAGTTCAAGCTTCTTGTCCTCACCATCAAAGCCAATCAAAACCTGTCTCTTCCTCTCCCTGTTTATTTGTCCTTGTGTCGTACCATGTGACCTTCCTTGTAAAAGTAGCTTCTGGCGTCAGTAGGTAGCGTCCTCTGTCATATGACAGGAGAATTAACTTTTTGAATCCTGATCCAGGTCATGTGAGTGGAGGTCAAGTTAGAAAATGTCTGTTTCTCATGTCACTTGTTTTCTAATTTTATCAGATTTTGAGAGCATGGGTTGTATTCATTTATATTTTAATTTCAGAAACATTGTGAGTGCTACCGAAATACAAACAATAATACTAGCTACAATATGCTGTTTAAATTCTTCAGCCACTGGAGAGGAATCAAAGCTGAGCTGAAGTTCAGATTTTATTGTCTGGGCAAAGCTAGAGGAAGAGCATATTGTATCATAGTAACTTCAACGCCTCCTCTGTTTGCTTGAAGCTACTTCTACTAATTATTAGGGACAATTTTTACCCATTTCACCAACATACATTCACCAGTGATCTTGTTTGCAGAGTAATGACATGTCCTGAGTCATTTGAACTATTACCTTTGTAAGATTGTACAATCGTCTTTAACGGACAGCAATCCACCTTCCCAAATAACTGAAGACATAGTAATGTGCCCTTTACTTGATGATCCAAGATAGCTAGCCAGTCTCCATTCATTTCTCCTAAAACTTCATAGAAAACATAATAAAGTAAAAGGGCAAAAGAATGACAATTTAGTTTTTATTTTCATGTTCATAGGGAGGAATAAGAGTTTAACAGTTATATTTTCAGTTATTGAAAAAAATAAGCCCCCCAATATGAATGACCTCTAACCCAAAAAAGCCAATATTTTCCTTCACTTCTATAGATTATAAATGTTATGCTTTCTGATCTCTAAAAGCTAGAGAGAAGAAAATTAAATACTATAACAGATTTTTTTTTGAAAGTAAAGATGGTAATAGAAAGTGTTACAATAGCAAAGGTGAGTTGTTTGCAAATAAATTTCAATCCTAGGCGCAAATTTAAAATTTTACAGGCCCTTTAGCCAGTAAAGTACTGGTGGTTTTTAAGTTATTGGGTCAGCTGAAGCCTCAGAATTACAGGTTGAACTTCTCTAGTCCAGCCCCCTTGGGACCTGACTGATGCTGAACCAGAGAATTTGTTGAACCATGGGAGATCAATATTGTCCAGCATATCACCAACACTTCCACTGCTTACTGGGTTCTTAGAACACAGTTGGGGTAAATTTGAGCTAATAACAGCACAGAACACAGAGAGCTAGGAC